GGATACCCAGGCTTCAATATCTCTTGCAGTGACCAAAATCCAATGATCTATCTCTCTAATGATCTTTATCCTATTACAAACATCAACCACTCCAGTAAATCTCTCACCCTTCACCATACCAAAATAAGACGAGCAGATTGTCGAAAAGTACCCCATGATACTATCACAGTAAATAGCACTCCTTCACTGTTCAATTCTACGCTAGGCAATAAAATGCTGCATTTCTTTTATAATTGCACACTGTATCCACCTTCACTTCCATATATAGCATGTTTACAGTATGGTATTAAGCAGTCATATGTGTTCTTGGAGGGAGCAACACCAGAATTTGATTGGCATAGATATTGCGAGTCAGTTGTGAGTGCCCTGGTGAGTGACGAGGCAGTTCATGGAGACTTGGTTCAGGGTTTTGGTCGGGCATTGCAAGGTGGTTTCAAGTTGACTTGGAAGCAACTAGATGGAGCATGTCAATCTTGTGAGGCTAGTGGTGGATTATGTGGTTATAACAATGGTCTACACGAGAATTTCTTTTGCATTTGTACCAACGGGAGGCATTCAACGAACTGTTATGACCAGGGTACTTTCCTTCACATAATTTTATAGCATATGTTTATATAGCAAGCACATATATAATTTACTAGCCCCTACTACTTGAACTTATGAATCTGAGAATTTAGTATTGTGTGAATTCGCAGGTGCACTAACTACAGTCAGACCAGAACCTAATTACATATATGTTGCCGTAGGTCAGTATCTCAAACTGGGATAAGAACAAAAGCTTTTGATAAGCCTTTACTCTGGTGACGAACGTACAGTGTTCTTTGGTCTTGCAGGTGCATTGATTTTTGGTGGTTCTGTTATTGCAGCAACTGTGTTTTACTTCACTCAGAAGAAGAAGGCTGGTTCATACAAACCAGTTTGAGTACAATACACAGTAGTTGGCAGAAAGGTTCCTCTAGATGTGTGTCAGTGCTTGGGCATGATGTGCCTTGCAATGAGTTTGGGAAACCCTATCTGCCTTTCCCGTTTTATTTACAAAAGAAGAAGACGACGACGACGGGGATAACGGTACTTGCAAGTAGTGAACAGTTGCAAGTAGGGGGAAACAAGGCATTCTATTTTCACTGACTGGCTTCAAATTCCATGTATGTGCTTGATTTCACCAAAATCCTTTCATGCCTAAAGGATATCACTAGTAAGAGCTGCTTTAACTTGCTATAAATCTGTTTCAGTAGAAATATAAGCCAAAGAAACACTATATCATATGTTATTACTACTGGTTTGTGATTTATGAGCTAATTCCTCGTTCTTTTTCTACGATCCGTGCACGGAAAAGGATGGAACAGAGATTCCGAGAAAAGATGAAACAACATAGACAATTCAAAAAAAGTCTAGATTAATACGCACGAGCAGCTCCAGAAAAACTGCGGAAAATTATTCATAAACGACCATAATTTAATTTTTAAAAAAAGTTTGGAAACCCTGTCATGGTAAGAAGCCATTCCAAATAAGGATTGAGATTGAATTCTAACAATTTGCTGTACAACTAAGAAGATAGTAATCAATAGATTACCCCACAGACCAGAAAGTCATGGACGTCTCCCGTCCAAAACCTAGGCAGAAAAAACATTACATACATGCAGAAACTTATATATACACGTATATGCAAGTTTATAGAACTCCACAAGACCAATACATTAATCAGCAACTTAACCACAGAGAATATTTAGTGCAGAGTGCTCATTAAATTGGTTAGAAAACTCTTAACTCTGTCTCTCCCCTTCAAGCCCACAGGTAAAATACTCAGAAAGCCACTGTCAGATTTTGAAGACGCGGAATGGATAAAAAGTGGAGATGATTAAAAACAGAGATGCAGTTATAGCAAGATTATTCACTCTCTAGAAACCGGGATAAGATTTTAAACCATCTTGCAATAAGATTGGAGCTCAATTGCTTTTTTATACTTGGATTTCTCTTTTGCTAAATGCATATTGAATTTTCCTGAAAAGCTAAAAATAATTGAACTAACAATCTCGATTCGTGCTAATGCAGTCCTCTATCTTCTAGATAAAGAAGAGAACCCAGCTTACAATGTCATGTATTGGTGGGTGGGTGTGCGTGTTGGGAAGGCAAAAAATCAGATAAAGACCAAAAAGGTTTAAACTTCATAATCCTCGAATTTACCTTTTACCCGAACTGGCTCCTCTTTAGATGTTTCTGAGGTCCAAAGACCTTCCAAATCGTATTCTGCTCGAGCCTCCTCGTCAAGAGCATGAACTATCACCTTACCTAAGGACAGAGAAGGTACCAGCGTTCTATGAATCAATAAGCCTCGTTATCACCTTAAGAGTTCATCAAAGTATCAATGTTTCACAATTATGCTAACAGAATTTAAGTCAATTTCAACTTGCTCGTAAGGTTACTATGAACATGAAATTGATGCCCATATTGAGTAAGGTAGAAACTCAATAAGAACACATAAGACTAAGCAGAAATTATTTGCCACAGTCTATTCCAGTTTTGCCCTATAAGCAGCGAGAAAGGAAACTCTAACCAGCTCAACTTTGGGCTGCATTGATTGTAAAATACCAACATATCTTCTTCTTCTTTTTCTTTTTCAGTAACAATATATGTATCTAACATTGTAGAAAGGAAAACAGACCGGAGTTAATGAGAATCCACTTTCCTCCCTCTTGCCCTTCTATGCCGGGGAGGGTCATTCGCCGAGCACCCTTTTGCTTTTGCTTAGCCTGCCCATGCAAATAAAAAACTCAAGACATGAACGGGAATCTCAATGCTTGGAAAAATCAACAAACATCTTAACACATGTTGTTCTCAAACACCAAAGAAACCATTATCAACCAATATCCAAAACAACGAACAAAAACCCTCCTGCTCTACCCAGTAATACAATGTAAGGGCATCCCTAATGGGAGAGTAGCCAAAGGAAAAAACTCTTTTTTCAGCTTTTTTTTCCAATGATTTTGCAGTTTCAAAGAGATAGCCAAGTAAAAAATCAAAATATTTTTTCAGTTAAAGAAAAGTGATTTCAATACATCTATATATATATATATAAAAGCTAAAAGTATTAAAATAGATTGTTCAAGGATTTATTTTATCGTCTACATAATTTTTCTCAAAAAAATAAAAAATAATAATATTAAATTATAAATATATTGTTAAAATGATTTTTTTAATGCATATAAAATATATATTTGTACTATTCAAAAAACTATATTAACAATTTTATTTTTTAAAATGACTATTATTATAACTTTCACGTCATCCGCTCTCGGATCAGTGAGAAACTTCTCGATCTCGTTTAGGTCCAGCAATCCTTCATCGCTGCTGGATTCAACAGCAATGGAACCTGACAACCCAATGAGTGAGGAAGTCCACCGTGAGTGAGGAAAAAGGTGTTTATCACATGGAGCACTCACGCAAACAAGTGAGGAAGTCCACATTATATGGCGCCACGTGCCGCAAATATGAAGCTTTAAGAGCTGTCTTTTCCAGATATTGTTGGAATCGTCTCGAAAGTTCCGCCTTAACTAGCAACGAGTGTCAATGGAAGAGCTTTGGTTTCGCTCCGACGACCTATACTTCTTTCATTTCCTTTTCGTAGATCATCTTAATGAAAGATGCTATTTTAAAGTGGTAAATTAATAAAATAGTATAAATATAATTTTATTATTATGATTATGTATACTCTAATGAAACAAGAAATATTTTAAAAGTCAATTTTATTAAAGTAGAATAAATAATTTTTTTATTTTTTAATAATTTTAATATTATTTTTTGACATAACTATATTTAATTAATTTATTTTTTTGTTAGTCTCATTTTGTTAATTTTTATTTTAAAAAATATATATAAAAATAGCATATATGAAAAAAAAAGATATTTTATTTAACATTTTATTTGGCTTTTTTCTTGTAGCATAAAAACAAGTAAAGAAAAGCCGAGATATAACTTTCTTATTCTTGCCTATCCATTTCACAGCTGCGTTGGAGATGCTTTTGCTATTTCCTTTCTTCTCTCATTGTTTTCCACGGATGACTCTTTCCAGTGTGGCAAAGTGGATTATCAGTTCTTCTATCAAGTTTGATTTTAAATATTTTTAATTTTTAATTTTATTTTATAATATTTAATTTATTAAACTTTTTTTTTCAGTTTTTTTTCATGAGTTTATTATAATTTTATGATCTATATCGTGGATTTGTTTGGGTTTACTTAAATAATTTTTTCTACTCTTTTTATTATTATTTTTTTAATTTTATTTTTTTATATTGTATTGGTTGAGAATTAAATCTTATAATTTTAATAAATTTATTGTTTTAATTCTAATTTTATAACCCAAATAATATATTGAAAAGTAAACATAAATTAATTTAAGTTTTTTTTTTCAATTGAGATTTTTTTTAATTTTATATATTAACCTTAAATTGATTAAGAATTAAATTTTATATATTTTTTAATTTTTTTATAGAAATAATTTATTTTTATTATTAAGTTGTTTATTTGACAGATTAATTTAAATTGCTTTTTTATTTTTTTAAATAAATATTTTTTCTCCTTTCATCTTTATTTTTTTTATTTAAATTATTTATCACAACTATCTATTTTTGTTACATTATATAATAAAATAAAATAAATTTATTAAATTTAATTTAGTTTATAGCACGAGTTATAAATTTTAATTATTTTTGAAAAGCATGCCTGTGGTGCCCAATTAATTTTCTTTACATTAAAAAATATTTTGATTCAGTCAATAGAGTGATCCAAAGCACCAATTTAGTGATCTGATAAAAAAACTAAAAATACAACAAAACATTAAATAAATACACAAAATTAATATTTTCTAACGATGATTCACGAGCAAATGGAAAGTGATTAAAAATGTACAAACCTTGAGGGACTAACTTGTTATTTTCTAACAATACAAGGACCGAGTTGCGATATCCAATTCTGAATAGTATGGGTAGGGTTTATGGATTATTCCATGTGAGGGTTTTAGCCCTCTCATAAAACACCATCTCCACTTCTCTTCTTCACTCATTTCGAAACCATCAACAAAATGGTGTCTCCATTTAACAAAAAAACCCCATAAATCTAATAACCTTTAGGGTTTCCAAATGGATGATTTAACCGGTGATGATTTCGGTGATTTATACTTAGATGTTGTGATTCAAGCGAGTTCAGTCATCGATTCATTACCAAACTCCAGTAATTTATGTACAGAATCAGAATCACATCAAGGAAATGGAGGCAGCGATCATAAAAAGGTTAATCAAAGCAAAAAAGAAGAGAACCTGGTGTCGGAGACCAAGGAATTAAACGAGGAGAAGTTAGGGGTTTTGGAGGAGGTTGGTGATGGGAGTGATAGTGAAGATGATCTGAATATTGTTTTGAATGATGAGGATTGTAAAGGGTTTGAAGTTGGCAGAGAAAGGAACGGTAATGGTAATGGCGGTGGCGGTTTCGAGGAGGAAGAGGGGGAGGAGGGTGGTGGTTTTGTTGTTGCTAAAAATGGAGTAGAATGTGGTGCTAGTGGGAATGGAGTAAAGGGTGTTCATCACTTGCCGCATTTGCATTATAAGGTACTGAGTTTTCATGGAAATGGTGTTATGTGTTTTTCAGTTCAGATTTTTGTCTCTATTTTTTTGCAGGAGACTACGAGTGTACCTTTTGGACTTTAGTCGAAGTACTTGATTTTAGAATTTTTATGGATATGAAGTGGAATTTGCTGTTTCTAACATTAGATATTGAATTTTACGTAAATATTGTAATTTTCTTAGCTGGAGTTTAGTATGAGTTTGTTTTGGGTTTTGTTTAATTAGTTTGTTTTGAAGTTCATCTTGGTGATTGTATTTTTAATTTGTAGCTTTAGATCTTTGGTTCTGATTTATTAAGTGCAATGACATGACTGATGGTTATGTAGATGGTGTCTTTTTGAGAATTGTCCGGGTATTGTACAAGACCAAGAATGTTAAAAAAGTTCAAAATCAGCAGTTTTGATTTTCGGTTTGTTTGATTGCAGAATGACATGTTAATATGATATTTTTGTTCCGCGTTTTTATTTTTTATAACAATAGTATTCCTAGAGGTGGAAGCTTGATGTGAAAATAACCTAGTTAGTTTCTTGTTCTCCTGCTATTGTTTAGAATGTAAGACCTTATGGATCATCATTTCCGAGCAATAAAAAAGGCAATGAATCTGCTGGGGTGGCATCTTGTTCTTCTAGCTCTGCTAGAGGTAATTGGGAAGATAACAGGTGCAAGCAACACAAGGTAAATTCAGGCCGGGTTGCTAATTTTCATGCTACAACCAATTCAGTACTATCTCATGGTGGATATGGTTACTCACTTCCATGGTATAGGTTAGTAAATACCCCCATTACTCCAGTTCTGTGCAAATACAATTTATTTATGGTTGTTATAAATAGCAAACAGCAATGCACATACAAAATGATTTAATGTTCTAAATAAGGGTAAATGTTATTTCACATTTACGAGGCTGCTATTGCTGCAGTGATGAATGATTAAGGGAATTTTTGTACTCTTGTATTGGATGCAAGAGTTCTAATTCTCCAGTAATATTAAGTAAAATCTTGCTTCCTTGTATTCAACAGGAGTATACTAGATGTAAATATTGATGCATTTGAAGAAAAGCAGTGGAGGTATCCTGGAGTTCATATATCCAATTTCTTCAATTTTGGTTTCAATGAGGATAGCTGGAAACAGTACTGCATGTCATTGGTAAATTTTTGAAACATTATACTCATTTTGGTCAGTTAATTGACCTTATAGTCATATGATCAAACAGTTCTAACACCTCATTTGCAAAGGAAAAAAAAGAAAGAACAGAGATATGCCCGACTAATTTATGATAGGTATTATTGCCATTACCACATTTTTGTTAACTGGCAATTGGCCACTAATCACTGAAACTCTGTGAGATGCATTGTAGGAGCAATATGGGCAACAGTCTTACATGCATGGTGCAATGTCAATTCTTCATTCTTCAAAATCTACCCAGGTGAGTTATTTTTATTTTTTAGGGGTCTTTTCATGTCCATTGTGAAATCATAGTTGAATGCTCGAATTCCAAATTTATTCTATTTGCTTGAAATCAGGCTTATGGATTCGGACCTGAGCAGAATAGTATAGCTATAGCTGACCATATTAGTCAAGTTGATTCTTCATCAGAATATGCTGATAGAGGGGGGAAGCAGCTGGGATTGGTACCCCCTAAATTAAGGGTTCCTTATTTTGATATTACCACATTGACTACATTTATTTTTTCTATGAATGTCTAGTATGCTTTCTTGTATGCTGTTTTTTAATGAATTGTTTTGATTGCTTCAGCGAAAAGGCAGACCAATTCAGGTTGAAGACAGCACTGGTGAACGTCAACCAACCATGGATCTAAGGCGTCCACGTGTTTGGGATTCTGATGTTGTTATAAAGGTTGGATTTTACTTTAAATATGTGAGACTTCTTTTACAACATTTTTTTACTCTATATAATGATTAATTCTTTGTGTGATTTGGAACAGATCAATGTGCAGGACTCCAATGACAATTCCTCTCAGTCCAGCATGGAGCAATCAAGCCATATGGATAGCATTGAACCCAGAGCATCAAAAAGAAGTTATTTAAATCTTGATGATAAAAGAGATGCCTGCTCTTCTGGTAGTGCCAGTAGAGATGAACCCTCTGCAGAGTCTCTGGAAGGAAATCCCAGGTCTCCCTCTCTGAAAAAGTTTTAACCATTTAAATATCTAGAATTATCTTCATATTTCCTATTCAATTGGTTTGGCTTGGATTTGTTTTCCTAGTTGAATATGGTGGCTTTATGGCGATCAAAATCTAACATGGTACAAGTCTTGGATGCGAGTTAGAGTTTTATTATGCTTCTGGAGTTCAATAGAAATACTCAGTTTATTAATATTGCATCTAATGAATCTCATATTTTTTAAACAGAGGCTAAAAGTCTCATAAGCATTTCTTTTATGCTTAATGTAATATAATGAAGCAGAGACTAGATAGAAGATGATGGTGCTTGGTCTAAGATGTTTAATTTTCATGTTCGTTATTATGCTTCTGGAGTTCAATAGAAATACTCAGTTTAGTAATATTGCATCTAATGAATCTCATATTTTTTAAGCAGAGGCTAAAAGTCTCATAAGCATGGCTTTTATGCTTAATGTAATATAATGAAGCAGAGACTTGGTTGATGGAAGATGATGTTGCTGTGGCTAAGATGTTTAATTTTCATGTTCATTCAGGCGACATTTTATATTGACGGGCTATTACATTAGAAGTTTGGCTTTCTTTATATTCCAGTGCTTTTGTTGAGCCACTGATGATGTTAATGATTTTAATTTGTTATCATTAGGTGTTTCCAGTCAATGTCAGTGTCCAATAAAATGTCTCCGAATACTGATAATAATGAAGCCAACCAGATTTCTAATGCGGATGGGTATCACCATCAAAAGGAAAATGCCCATTCTTCAGAAGGCATTGCTGAAAAAATGGAAACTGTAGATGAGGAAGAGGAAGAAATTGACAGGAAGGAGTGCAAGTCAGATCAATTACTGAGTGAGCCAGAACTATCACTGAGTGATTACAGTTATTTTAGCCCTAGTCTATCCTACTCTGACAGTGATTCTGAAGCATCCAGAGACAATATCTGTCATACTGTCAAAGATTCTCCTGGTCCCTTAAGAAGGCCATCTTTGGGCACCAAGTTACAGGAATCTGTTACATCTAACCATAAGAACCCTAAAAGAAATGGTGTTATAAGAACATCAGGTATCCAAAATTGTTCAAGTCATAAAAGACCTGTTTGGGAGGAAAGGAAGGATCACAATCGGAGACTCCGTAGAGTTCCGGAATGGAGGATCCTTCCTAATAATGACAGGAAGGAGTGCAAGTCAGATCAATTACTGAGTGAGCCAGAACTATCACTGAGTGATTACAGTTATTTTAGCCCTAGTCTATCCTACTCTGACAGTGATTCTGAAGCATCCAGAGACAATATCTGTCATACTGTCAAAGATTCTCCTGGTCCCTTAAGAAGGCCATCTTTGGGCACCAAGTTACAGGAATCTGTTACATCTAACCATAAGAACCCTAAAAGAAATGGTGTTATAAGAACATCAGGTATCCAAAATTGTTCAAGTCATAAAAGACCTGTTTGGGAGGAAAGGAAGGATCACAATCGGAGACTCCGTAGAGTTCCGGAATGGAGGATCCTTCCTAATAATGATAGCTATACCTCTCCCACATTTAGGGATCGCTCATCCCTTGATTGTAGCAGACAGATTGAAAATCTGCATGATTTTGATTATCGAAATGGAGAAGATTTCTCTTATAGTCGGCAGAAAGACCCTTCTTGTGGTTACAATGGTAAAAGGTGCAGGGATGACCATGCTCAGGCTGTTTACAAAAAACACTGTCATAGAAAATATAATTTCAGCTTTAAAGATGAGATGATTCCACAGAACAGAAGGGGTTGGAATGAGAAGGAATCTTTCCATGAACAAAGCTGTAGATTCGATGATCAAGATACGTGCAAAGATTTGTATAGTTCTGGAAGAGGACTCTTTCCGGAGGACGTGATTCCTCCCACTTATTGGAGATCAAGACATTTGGCTTCCAAGTACAACAATCACAAAGAGAGAGAAATTCTATGGAAAAGGAAGAGTGGAAACATCCGATTTCAGAAGAGCACTCACAGTATGCGCTTGCTTGGTCATGAAAATGAAGATGACTTAATGCAAGAAAATTGTGGAAGATCTGTTCCACTGGCCAACCAGAAAAGGTTTTCGTTGAATGAAAAATGTGAAAGGCGCAACTTTATTGGGAGAGAAGGGAATTCTTCCAGTAGAAGGGTTAAATATGGTTGTGATCCCTGTATGGATTTGAATAGTTCATGGAACATGGAAACTGAAGAAGATTATTGCAATCCACTTCATCAACATTTTTTCTCCAAGTATCAGAGGGAAACTTATGATTCCAATGATGGAAGGTGGCATGAGATGTTGTCGTCAAGAAATGTTATGTTCAACTCCAGATTAACTGAAAGATATAGAAGACCAAGGAGACGAATATGCATCAGGGAGGGCCAGGATCGTGGTTGGGATGGTAGTTTTAATGATAAGATTGATGCTGAAGATGGTATCATTTATCCTGACGATCAGGTTCATTTGGAGAGGAGAAAATATAGCAGGAGATCTAGAGTAGTTAAGTGGAAAGAGGATGAATCTATTTTAAGGCATCATGTTGGCAATCTTTATGTCGAAAGGAAACCATGTTTCTATGGAGTAACTTCAACACATGAAATAATTCATGCTAAACATAGATCTGCCACTGGTGGGGTGGTGGTTAATGGTATGGATTTTAGCCGGCATAGCTATAAAATGATCAGAGAAGGAAGTAATGCTAGGTGTGTCAATCGAAATACTAGTAAGATGTATAGGAGGGGGCATGAGAAGATGGTCAGGAGGTGCTGTGATCCAGATGACCTGAATGTTGGAGAAGTAAAGGTAAACTTAGGGAAGCTGAGATCAAAACCTTGTACAACTGTACGTGTATGTATTAGTGCTCTTCTTTTGAGCAAGTCTTTATTCTTGTTAATGCTATCTCATTGTGTGTTTATCCGACATTTCTTCTCGTGTTAAAATTTCCATGTGATTCACTTTGTGAAGCTCACTAAGAATTTTTTCATGTCTTCCCATGCTCTAGTGTCAATAAGCCATTCAGGATAAAGAAACACTCAGTAATAAGCAGTTGATCGTGTTCTGCAATTTCCCCATTGCAAGTGTAGTGTGATGTTTCTTGCTATGGCTATAGAATTGATATTTGACATGCTTCCATTTGATGTTAGTATGGAATTTTCAATAGTTTGTCCTTGTTTGCTATTGTAGAGACTTCAGAAGGTTGAGAAATGAAACCAGCTTGTCAGGAAAATATTAGTTTTCCAGGAATCAGATTTTGATAAACCACTATTACAATGCCTGTACCTGATATTGCGTGCTATGCTCCTCTGAAAGTATATTTGCATGCGATTTGCATGCTATGCTCTTCTGGTGATCATTCATACATTTTATATCCTCTAAACTTTCTATACTTGCCACTTCCGAAGTGAGGTATTTTGGTATATTTAGCATGCTTCCTGCATGGATCTTATATTTAAGATTTGTTAATAGTATTAGTAGGGGCAGATTGGCAAATGAAATTTAGAAAGCCATTACATAGTTTCTTTTGCACTGAAGAAGATTATTGTGAATTTGAATGTAAAATACCTCCAAAACAACAGGGCAATGTAATTATAGCTTTTTTCTCAGATGCATTGATTACCCTCTGGGGTAAAGTTTTTAAATATTTATCAAGTTATCAACATTGCATTCCTCTGCCCCCCTAATACTCTGGTGCATAGTTGACTCCAATAAAAGGAATCTTGTTGTTGATAACTCAATGGCATGATCATTGCTGCCTAAATTATGAATTTTGTGGGGAATCTGTGATTTACTTAATATCAGGAAAATTTATTTGATTGACGGTTTGTTGCAGATTGTAACTATTCAACTTGATAATTTTTATTTCTTTGAGTTTTTGAAATAGCCATCTCTTTGACAGCATGTTCCAACATTTATGTTTCACTCACCGTTATGCAATCTCATATATTTTGTGACTGATCCTTATGATATCTGTACCCCTGCTTTTCTGCTTATTCACCATCTGTCTTTTTTAGTTGATTCAGATATTGATTTGGTATGTCTTGATGCATAGAGACATCAGCAAACTGTTTTCCTTGTAAAGAGTTATGATCTCTTGTTGCTTTGTTGTTGTGAAGTGAATTCTTTTTAAGCTTTGTCTGATGTTCAAATTTGTGCTTATTGTTTCATGCATTGCTCATGGATGTTCAATTATCCTATTCAATCCTGTCCTAGGCGCATTTTGGTGCATTATCATGTGAAATATTGTCCATTTGTTCATTATCCTTTTTTTTCTTTTTCATGCACCAAGTCCATTGTGATTTAAGCTCTGTATTTTGTGGTAGATTATCATTTCATATTAGCTGCATGATTTGACACCATTGAGGTTATTTGCTAATTTATTGCTTTTGTGTATGCAACCAGTATCTCTTTTTATCAATTCTGTTGTTATTTCATGGTTTGTCTTCGCTGAGGGAAGAGCTACTAAATACAAGCAGCGCTCGTAATGTTGCATAACCAGTTTTATAATGTGGATGGTTTAAAAATTTTGTTTGTCTTCTTGTGAAGAGTTTGTAATGGATTACATTTATTTTGCAAGGAGAGGATTTGTTTGATAGGGTTCTAACGAATCTGACCTTCTCAATGCCAAGACTTCCTCATCAGTGTGTTTGTGAAGAGCTTGCCTTTGGTTCTAGGGAAGTCAATATGTTTGGAAAAGAACTAAATATAGGTCAGCCCATGGAATGCTAATATTAATTAAGCTTTGGGAACAACTTGGTTCTTGTTGTAGCAGTAGTCATTTTGATGGACTGTTTGTAAATGGGTATTTAACTCAGCATAGGCTGAGAAGGTGTCCAATGCTGTCTAGTAAAGATAGGGAATTTACTACAGCTGAAAACAGCATGGAAATCCTGCCAGTCTGTATATAATTTTTAGTAGCTTGTTTCTTAAGTTGCCAGAGTTGATGACTAATTCATATGATTGTGGACTTGCTATAAAATATCTGCACTGATTTGCTATCTTAATGGTTTTCAGGATTTTGCTTATTTGGGTTCTCCTGCAATGTGATCTAGACTTTTTACAATTTTGATGTGTTCTTTGAATTATTCAATTTTCTCTATATTTTTTTTTATTTGCTATCAATATCGTAGCTAGGTATACATGGTTAACATTTACTTATGGCAATATATTATGAAGTTCCCTGAAAGATGTTCTAATGTTCGAAGTTTACTGCAGAAAAGTATGTTTAAAAGGATGGATCTGAAGTTTGCCAAGGAGCCAATGTGTTCGATGGATTTCAATGAATCCCAGACAGGAATCCAAACTGATGTTCTTGAAACTGGAGGCGATGATGAAAAGAAATGGATCGGTAAATCTCAAGTTATAGAGCACAATGAAAAATTGAACATTGAAGATGGCCAGATAATGGCAGAAGAATCAAGCATGGAAAGCAAGTTGGCAAAAAAATGTGCTTTTAAAAGTGTGGTTCCAACTTGCAATGTGAAGAATAGAAATTTTCTCTCTGAAAATGCTTCCAGTAGAAACAAGAATAATGGGGCAGTTGAAAGTAAACGGATACTGGACATGATAGCAAAGATGGAAAAACGTAGGGAGCGCTTTAAGGATCCAATTGCACAGAAAAAGGAACTGGACAAGACTTCCGAACCCCAAGTTGAAGTGGTGATCGATACAGTTCCAGCTAACCAAGATAGGCCAGCCAGAAAGAGACAATGGGGTGGAACTTAGGTTTTTGCGTTCGCAGGTATATTGCATTTATCCTTTCTTAATCATCCTTTCTGGGTCTCCAGGTTTACCTCAGACTGTCTATTGATGGATAGAAGCGGGCAAATTATCATGGAAATTACTTCTCGATGACTGACAAATCATGTGGAGTTCCGGTGGAAATATTTTCATTTTTCTTGATTTAATAAATGCCATGCATTATTTAATTGTGCTGATACACATCTATGATGCTCATCATAGTGGTAATTTGATATTTAATTGATGGCAACGACAAGTCTCTGTTGTATGATATTCAGAGCTTGATCATTGTTTTCTTTCATGTTAATATTTATTGATTGGGATAAACTTGATGATTTATCGATGGTCACAAGCGTTGATGCTGAATCTTCTAGTTGTAGAATAATTTTTGCTCGTCTTTCTCTCAGTCCCCTTCTGTCAGGATGCGTGTTCATTCTCTCAAAATGATGCTAATCTGTTGAGTTTGTAGGTTGATGCGTGAACTGTTGCATAGCACTGTGCTAGTGTTCGCACGTGTTTATTTTTTCACACCTTTTTTTCAATCGTTCACCAGTGGGAAACTTCTTTCACCTTTGTTCTACCCAGTGAGACATTCTGTTTTCCATCATTCATTCGGGCGAGTAAAATAGCTGTGCTAAGGTGTTCTGCAAATGACGGGCAGTGAGGCTTAACATAATGACAATTACTAAATATGAAAATATAAAAAAATTATTTTAATGTTTTATTTTACTAAGAAGTCTTGAGAAGAAAAATAGTGCATAATCTCAAATATAAGTTTTTCAAACCCAGCAAATCTAAACTAATTCTTGATTCCCTGTATTGGATAGAAAGTTTCACCCTTTTTTGTCAGCTCTATCTTTTTTTAAATAGAATATTATTCTGTTTTTAAACAATTTTTTAATGTTATTATATAAAAAATAACTCAATAATTGTTAATTGTTTTTTAAAAAGGGTTAAAAGTTGCGGTGAGAGTATCACTCCGAGAATGGGTTATTTTTATTTTTAAAAATTTATTTTTTCTATAGTATATTAAAACAATTTCAAAAAAAAAAATTAAAAACGTTTTTAAAAATACAAAAACAATTTTGTCATGAACGATCGTATAACTGAGTCCCAAAGAGCTAATTGCTTTGTCTTGAACGCTCGCGTCACTATGTCCCAGGATATGGCAGATTGTTGTCCGTGAGATAGACTATGATTTCCCACCAACAGAAGCTGTCCACGTGGCATAAAAATCTGCAAGCTAGATTAGAGAGCTAAGCCACCAGATGTGTTGAGCGACGTGGCTGCTCTGACGCCAGTGACGTCCCTTGTTTGCATATACCAAGGTACACTCAAAGTCACTGCATTTCTCGTGCTTACCAAAAATAAGACTCCATATAACTGTAAAAAAATAAAAAATGCTAATATACCACCTCAAGTCCAAGAGGCCGCGGTGGTCATTTACACACCACGCCTCTTTCTCCTTCACAAAGCCCGCCCAGTATTCTCTCATCTCGACCACTTTCCTTTCCATCCGTTAACAAAAACAGAAATTTGAAAGAAAAGAAAATGCACCTCTTCTCTCCTTCCTCTTCCTCTTCTACTTCGAAAGCAACTTTCACTCTCTTCTCTCCCTCTCAAAACCCCAACAACAACTCCAAACTCTACTTCAAAATCCATACCAAAACAAGAACAACAATACCATGTTCCTCTAAGGAATCCCCTCCTGTTCTAGACCCGAAACCTCTCTCCTTAGAATCATCAAGAACCAATGAGCTTAGCAACCGGAAAAGCAATTTTGTTATTGAATCAAAGAGAGATTCTTTGGAGGGAATGCTGGTTGTTCGCCGGCCGGACATGGAGGTTCCCGGTGAGGATTCCGGCGAGAGCAGTGAGAAAGAGAGCGATGATAATAACACTAAATCCTTGACAATCATTGATGTGGGCCTCGAGGAGTTTGCAAAAAAGATGCCGATTTTTGAGCCAGAGAGAGTGGGGTCCTCTGGTTCCGGTCCTCAAGAGAAGCCACTTGATGTGAATTTGGACTTGGCTTTGTATAAGGCCAAGGTGTTAGCTAGGCGTTTTAAGTATAAAGAAGCTGAGGAGATACTGCGAAAGGTATGTTTTTGTTTGCTGTTATTAACTTTGGTTGATTTTTTGGGGAAAATATTGGTGCTGTTAAAAATGGGTTCCTCTTTGTGGTTTTTTAAGTGTATTAGTTATTGGCCTGAAGATGGGAAGCCATATGTGGCATTAGGGAAGATATTGGGCAAGCAATCAAAAACAGAAGCAGCAAGAGCTGTGTATGATAAAGGGTGCCAGGCAACTCAAGGAGAGAATCCTTACATTTGGCAGGTGAGAGACGTGTAACTATTCTTTCCGACTACAAACGTGATTCAACTCTTAATGCTAATCTTTTGTGATCGATTTGGTAATTGTTGAGGGCTTATGAAATGCTTTGATCTTTATTGATGCCCCCAAAGCAAGTTCTAGGACATTCACTCTTCTTTTATTTCTTAAGCTATTGGTTCTAGGTGGCAGGGTCAATTGTTACCTGAGTTTGATCTTTGTATTGATTCCCATTTTGCATTCACTAGTAACTGTCAAAAAAAGAGGGAATCTTGAATGTTTTTTTTAATTTCTTAAATTGTTCTGCCACTGGCCTCTTGGAATTGTGGTAATTTTACAGTTGAGTCGTGCAATGTTTGAATTCTGCGAAATTTGTTGATAGATTTCTGCATTCAGTGAATATCCCATCTACTCATGTGACACAGAGAGTAGTAAATGACGTCACTGTATGATCATTTAGCTTCTTGAATAGGTTGCGTAGATTTAACTGTTGTAAAACTCCCTAATTCCAAACTTGTGGTCGCGCATTTTGTCGACTCAATCACATCGGCATCCTGCAGGTGCCTAATGTTGGTACAGCCAATATATATGATGTCGGTTCATTCTTTGGTTTTTTTCATGGAATGATAGCATGGTGATGTATGTTGTAAAATTAGTAGCGCTGGCTCAACGTTGGTAAACATATCATAGGATGAACTGCATTCCCATTCTACTTTCATTTCTCGTATTTGGATTTAACCAGCACATGTCCTTGGAACAGTGCTGGGCTGTTTTGGAAAATAAAATGGGTAATATTAGGAGAGCAAGAGAGTTATTCGATGCAGCCACAGTTGCTGATAAAAGACACGTAGCTGCTTGGCATGGTTGGGCAATTCTAGAGCTAAAACAGGGAAATGTTAAGAAGGCAAGGCAATTACTTGCTAAAGGCCTTAAGTTTTGTGGTGGAAATGAGTATGTTTACCAGACACTGGCACTTTTGGAAGCTAAAGCAAATCGATATGAGCAGGCTCAATACTTGTTCAGGCAAGCAACCAAGTGTAATCCAAAAAGCTGTGCCAGTTGGCTTGTAAGTACTTGGCATCCTAAACATTCTTTGATGTTGTGATGTTGCTTTCATAAATTATTTAATCCTCAATTTGTTGAGATCTTCTGATTCAGGCATGGGCACAACTAGAAATGCAACAGGAGAACAATCTTGTCGCAAGGAAACTCTTTGAGGTATTCCTTGCTTTGAGCTGTATTTTTTCCACGTTTTCATGCAGCATGCTTCCTTTTCGGTCTTTCATTCTGTGATATTCTTGTTTCTAATTTAATTTGCAGAGAGCAGTACAAGCAAGCCCTAAGAACAGATTTGCATGGCATGTATGGGGAGTTTTTGAAGCTAATATTGGAAATATTGAGAAAGCAAGAAAACTTTTAACGATAGGCCACGCACTTAATCCAAGGGATGCTGTTCTGCTTCAGTCTCTTGCTTTGTTGGAATATAGACATTCTTCTGCAAATCTTGCACGAGTATTGTTCAGGAAAGCATCTGATTTGGACCCAAGGCACCAACCTGTTTGGATTGTAAGATTTTTCTTCATACAATACTCAGATCTAGTAATCAAACTCGATCATTCTTGTGTCTTATCTTCTTCTTTCAAAATTCCTTCGTGTTGATGCAAACATAAATAGGAAATTATTCTTGTTTCTATTTTTTTCATTATTGAAACACTTATACACTATCACTGTAAAATTTATTTGACTGTTTGATGTTCCAAATTTAGGCTTGGGGATGGATGGAATGGAAAGAAGGCAACATATCCACTGCAAGGGAGTTATATCAAAAGGCTCTTTCAATTAACACAACCACTGAAAGTGCAGCTAGATGTCTACAGGTAATTTGCATGAATTCAAATGCATGTATAGTTAACAACAATGTTGGAATGACTTTTATCCATTTCAACTTGAGTGTCTTGTTCCATTGTCATCCATTGCAGGCTTGGGGTGTCCTGGAACAAAGAGCTGGTAACCTGTCCGCAGCTCGAAGATTATTTAGATCATCCCTAAATATAAATTCTCAGAGTTATGTAACATGGATGACATGGGCACAGTTGGAGGACGATCAAGGAAACAGTGTGCGTGCCGAGGAAATTCGGAACCTTTACTTTCAACAGGTCAGTGATCACCTTTCTGTACCCTAAATGACAAGATCTAGCACAGAAAGATGTTTTTCTGCTGTATATACCCACATTTTGGTTGACCTGGTCATCTAATCAAAATCATCAAAAACAAAGTTTTTGGTTGTTCTTTCCTTCAGTCTTGTTCTCATCATTGTGCTATCATTTCATCAGTAAACCAAGCATGCTGCTTGGGAAATTGGATTGGATGTAAACTTGCATCTATTTGTTTTAATGTTGAATCATTGGAGCCCAATTTAACATATTTTCATCCTTTACACAGCGTACCGAAGTTGTAGATGATGTCTCATGGGTTACAGGATTTTTAGATATCCTTGACCCAGCAGTTGACAGCATAAAGAAGCTCCTGAACATGGATCAGGACCCATACAAGAAGGCGCAGGAAGCTTTGAGAAATATATCAAGAGGTAAAGAAAAAGGTGTTGATGACAACTCAGCCGGTAATCCATCCTCTAACAACTTTGGCAATTATAAAGAAGACAGGGGTAGTGGACTGGATTTGGATTCCTTCATTAAAGAAAGGTTGTCTCTTGATGCTACCAAGTTTGATGTCAACCTGGAAACATCTGCTGCAAGTCCGGCCCCATGGAGAGGCAAGTCACCAAGAAGTATATGGAAACCAGTAAAAAGCAATCGGAAAAACGTTGCCAAATTCTAGCTGTCGTTTCAAAGAGGCAGTTTTAAAGTGACACTTGAGTTCATGGTTCAAGAAACTCAACGTCTGAAAATCGAAAATATTATTTAGTACAGTAACGCTGTAACTACAGCAGGATGTCTCCGTAGAACACAGTGATGTGTAAACTGCTAACACATGGAAAGATAATTCGAGATTAAATTTGTTGATATAAAATTACAGATGTAACTACCAAAAACAATCTATTTTCTATAATGGTAACTATAGGCATTAGTTTGCACAGAAAGAATCTAATTCGAGCACTTTTTTTCAATCCGTATTTTTTTCGATATATATATATATATATATATATATATATATATATATATATATATATATATATATATATATATATATATATATATATATATATATGGGGAGGGAGGTGGGTGTTTCCGATCTAACCTTTTCTTTTCTTTGCAAAAAGAGACATGTATAATTAAGTTTAAAGAAATATGTTTGTGTACTGTTGCGTCAAGCTTTCACAAAAACAGAAGACGAAGGCAATCATGGGAAGCTCGAAATTAAAGAGATAAGGAATTAAAAAAGAAAAGAAATATGTTATTGCTGGATCCATGAAATCCACCGAATTCATGTCCCGTGCTGGATTGATGTTCAGCTTCAACACCTCGAAACTCAAATGCCTTGTACTCCGAGGGCAAATGGACAACATTTTCGTCGATTTGTAATAAATTAAGGTGAGATTATCCCGCAAGAGGGAAAATTATGCTCCAAATAACCATCACTCATCTGAGCGACAAACTCGTTTTAACCTGTGATCCAAAAGCAGCATTGTCTTAATTCAGTGCAAGTGTGTGAGGGACTCCTGAGGTAGGATCAGGACCCATGCAAAAGGCATAGATAGCAATGGTCGAGAAAAATATCAGAACCTAACGAAATATCAGTCAGGCTTTCCTTTAATAATTATAATTTTTTTAAAAAAAAAGAACAGAAAAGAAAAGGACACGAATCCAGGAGAAGAGAAATAAACACGATACCTACGAGAAGGTAAGTATTCCAACTACGTCTTGTTACAGCAAAGGAAAGTGGCCGGACAAAAAGGAAGATTGCCATAGGACACGAATTTTATGCCCGTCGGTGATCAAGTGGTGCCTGTCAAGATACTCGGGGCGCGAGTGCAAATTGGTAAAGCGCGTACAGTCAATAATTTGCATTGAGAACTGGCTCAATAAGAATGCCTGATATTTCGATCTTAATTCCGTTCACTCCAATATTTCGATCTGAATGAGAGACAAAAATATGGGAGATTCTAGCATGACCCTTTCCGCAATAACCAAACACACCAATATTTCGATCTTAATTCCCTTCACTCCACAATTGAATCTGTCTATGAGACTACAACAATTGTATAAATGGGCTTCAAATAGGTGATTAGGTCTATCTGCGGGAGCGAGCCAAGGTGGTCAAAAATGCATCCTAAAAGCTAAAAATCTCGAGAAACGAATGCAAGTTTTGAAGTCACTATAAAGTAGACAGGTCCTTTCCAATGATGATTAGTAAATTCGGTGTGTATATCGAGAACTGTTGGATGGTCTTAATTTCATTTACAACGCCTAGCTAAGAATTTGATGACGTATCTAAAAAAATCTATGTTGTCTAAGAAAATAGGATTATGAGGTTGTATAATTAGTTAATTAATTTATTATAATAATTTTATTTATTTATTTAATTAAAATAGTTAATAGTTTTTTCAGTACCAGACAAACCAGCTAACTTGTAATTAGTAATTACAGAAGATTTTAAATGTAATTTTATCCTAATAGTTTTTAATCAAAGAAAAATATTTTTGATACAAGTATTAATATTTAATGAAAATATAATAGATTTTTAAAATATTTTTATACAAGTATAAAAAAATTAAAATCTAAAACATCAAATTTTACTTGACTTTTTTTCTAGATTAGATCTAATGAAGATGGATCCTTCTCTTGGTGAGCCTGGAAGGTTGGGTTTATCCTTGAAATGAGTTCTTTTTAGGTGTGTCTTAGGAAGGATATTTGTTATTTTAGAGATGGCCGGGGCTTGATATGCTACCACATCCTGACTAGATTTGGCTAGTCTCAAACTCAAAATATATTTACTAGAATATGCTTGTGTTCTAGAAAATTTATAATTATCTATATTGATCTAGTGTTTATTTTTTAATAAGAATATACTGAGAAAAACTTAACTCATCAAAATGTTAAAAAAGGGGTATTACATATATAATTTGGACTCCTGGAAGGGAGAATATTTGACTGCAAGATGTAATTAGCACAATAGAGAGGGTAAAACGTCTATGACAAAATAGAGATAAGAATCAATAGGACTGACAGCTATTAGTTAATCCAGATCGATGATAACTTTCAAAGCTTGGCTTCTTCTGGATTCACATAGATTCCGATTGTTCTAAGACCTTCGGCATCAAAGGATCCATGCAATCCACCAAATAGAGGCTCATCTCCTGTTTGAAAATCGAATTCAGTACCATTTTGTGCCTTGCAACCGAATGGACCATAGGTCTCCCAGTTCGTAGTAAATGCCAATGAGATCACATTTCCATTACTCCAAAAGCCGCTAATCCCCTTGAGAAACTCACGAGGATAATCAAGCTTAACCTGCTATTCAAATTTAACATGCTCATATATATTCCAAATTCAACGAATAAAAATCTTGGTAGTGATTCAAAATATCAAATCCAGACCCCTTTTGATTTGATTTAACAAACAAGCACGATGCATCATAGAGTGACCAAATAAAATTTTAAGAGAAGGAAACTTTTAATCGAAGTTCAAATCAATGTACAATATATATAGAGTGAGCAAAGAGAGGCTTACAACATTGAATCTCCAACCATAAGGATTCTTAACGGGCATCGGAGAAAGCTTGGACAGGACTCCATTCTCTTCGACATACTGAAATTGAATAAAACGGATAAGATTATCGTGAGAAATATAGATGTGGGAGATTCCAGTACTTCCCTTATGATCCCAGTCAAATTCTAGGTCGGAGATTTCAGAGTGACCCCAGATAAGTGATATGCGTTTTGTTCCAGCCTCTAACTTGATCATCTTCAAAGTTTGTTGCTTCAAAGACGAATATCGCTCTATGCCCTTTTATTCTAGCTCGTGAAAGGCCAAAATCTGTTCTACTTCTAAGTTAAGGTTTCTAGGTTTTATCCTTTTTGAAAGGGAGAAAAGATGTGCAAGTTTTTGGCTGTTCGACAGGTAAATAATTCACTTGTATTATAATTGAATTGAAATGGCTTTACTTTATAAAAGCCATGATTCCCGCGGTAAGATACTGTGATGTTTTTGGTGTTTTTTAGTTAAAAAAAAAAAGCAAAAAACTAAGTTTTTAGGGCTATATTTGTTCGTAGAAAAAAAAAACATTTTGAAAAATAAATTATGAAGAAAGTGAATTCAGAAAAAATAAATTTCAGAAAAAATAAATTATTTTTCAATATGATAATAATATAAAAAATGAACTGGAAAACATTTTTTAGTGTTTGGTTATGTTATGAAAAATAAACTGAAAAATAATTTATTAATTTTTATTTTTCTCAAGTTTATTAAAATAATGAGGAATAAATCTTATAAATTAAAAATTTGAATAATAATGAAATTTAAAAAAAATAATTTTATAAATTATCTTAAATAAAATAAATAATAATCAAAATAATAAAGATCAAATCTAAAAAAAAAGATGAAGAAATTAAAATAATAATAATTAACATTTCATAAAGTATTTCAAATAAAATAAATAACAATCAAAAGAACGAGGACCAAATTTGATAGAAAAAAATTTCAATAAAAAACTAATAGGAGAAAAGCAAATAACAATTATAAAAATGAGGA